ATAAATGGGAAATAAAAAGCACATCAATGATTTCCACTGTCTTAATGTTCTTAGGGTTTGTAAAATATTTTAATTTTAATTTGTGGTCTAACAAGCACAGGTAATGATGCTCAGCAATGAGATGAAGTCATATTATTTGCGCCATAACAGAATAAATTTGAGGTTTTCCCCAAATTTTCACAAATTGAATTCACTTAATCATTAAACATAAAATATAGGGATTTTCTCAAATAAATCCGTTTGTCTGGTATAATTTAATACAATACAGAGTAGTAAAACGTTATTTGACTCTATTTTATACATTACCTAGTTTAAATTTTCGAGATAATTGTAATTCTTCACAGTCTAAAATAAATAAGCCCTGTTTTATACCTGGAGTTCCTCTCATAATTTCCTAGAAGTGTAGGTTCAAAAGTAGACTAGTTGTCCCCTGGGAACTAGGGGACAGGAAAGGTGCGTCTTTCGAGGCATAGTGGTTCTTTAGCAAAACAGACTTTATAGAAAGAGCGACACTTATTTTCCCATTACCATATCCAGCTAGATAAGTAATGCCTCATTATTGGAGACTATTTGTATATATGATAAATAATACGATGAAATGCCATAAATAGATGTTAAATAGATTTAACATCGTGAGGAAGTAAATTTGTGTGAAAAATATAATTTAAATGTTGTTAGTCAGCTTACATGGAAGAAATGTCGGCAGGAATCGAAATGACGCTGAAGGACAGAATCAAAGATACGCATATATGGTTCCTTAGTGAAGAAGAGCTGATTGGCAATATTTTGCATCATTTTTCCGAGCAAAGTAAGACCGCGCTTGACACGGACTGGAGGCTCAAAGTCAAGTAGGCCACTTTCACAAGGCGATACCACAGCTGGGTTGATAAAGCGTAGGAAAACGATAGTAGAAAGTACGGTTATAATATGATCTGGATGGCTGCCCTGGAAACGCTGGCTTATCAACTTGTATAGGCAGTTACACATGCACCGAAGTCGGCGGGGAAAACTTTATATCATCACACAAAGGACGTAAAAAGAAAAAAAGTTTCGATTTTACAGGGAGCAAAGATGAGGGCAGAGTAAAGTCGTTGAATAGTGTAAATCAATCTTTATCTTATTAACCCATAAATTAGGGTCATTTTTAAGTTTTTTTATAATTGTCTCGTATGCGAACTCTGAAGGTGATGACTGACTACCAAAAAAAAACATCTTAATTATGAAGCATAAAACCGTAACGCGTCTGAGTTGAAATTAATCATTCAAACGAACATATGAGAAGAATAAGCCTATGGTCAAAAGAATACAATTATTCAAAGCCTCATTTACTAGTTTGTAAATAAGAAAACTGCTTACATACATTAGAAAGGCCTTTTAAGTGGATAAATGAGATTGGGCGCAAACCAAACCTTTAAAATAGTAGCAAAAAACTCCAACCGATTGGAAGATCGCTTGATCATGATCCAAATTAATGATGAGGTTACGCATCTCGATAATTCTTGCCAAGGCTATACGATTACCTTAAATATCTTAGTGAATGGAACTTTCCTTGGCTATTGTACTAAACAAGGGGATTTACTGCATTAATTAATGGACCAACTTAGATAAAGAAAGACTATTTGAAAGAGCCTAGTTAGGGGCAAATATAAATTTTCTAAAGCGAATATTGGTGCCCCACCCTGAACGATCCATCCGTCCTCACCTGTCCACAGAGGAGATAAGACGAGAGTAGACTAGCTCCGTTGCGTAAACCAGATTGTTTTGATTCTCCTCCAGATTCTCATTAGGCTCCAGACGCGTCGGATCAACTTCATAGGAGGGTCGATGCATAACGACAGGCTTTGCCATTGCCGTTGGAGTATTGGACCCAACGTTGATGCTAGCACCTGTTCCGGTATTGCTAAAGGTTATAGTAGACACGCCCGTGATGCTGGACTGCAACGTAGTTGTGTTACTGGAGCAAACGCTGCTTCCGAAACCACATCCTCCGACACCTGGCAGAGCTTCTCCATATGTTAGGAGATCGCTGCCCACAGCAAGATCATCGGCACTCAAATTTAGAGTGCACCCTGCCTCATGCTTTATCTCAAAGCCTGGAGCGCTGACAGAGAAGCTATGAGTACCTTCACCATAAGTATTGATTCCTGCGGACAAAGCTGCAGTACTGCTACTGCTGATACCAGTTTTTGCACTATTTTCGCCTCCATGAACAGTAGTCGTTGCAGTAGATTCCGATTTAGAGCCCAAGCTCGATTCAGTAGCGACGATGAAGTTTGTGATACAAGTACTACCATACTGTGGCAAAACGAGAGGCAGGACGTTGCTGCTATTGCCTCCATTTCCTCCGGCATCACGACGGACCAATTCCATGAGAGCCGGCCCCAATACCGCTTGTAGATAATCTTGGCCATATTGCTTAAAGATAAAGTTCATGATTTTGCTTGATAGACTGTTACCACGTAGCAAAGTCTGCATGCTGTCGGCCAACTCAACCTAAGAGAAAATAAGTATACCAAATTGAATTCAGATATGTGGGAAATACAAAATATTGCTAAACAGTCAACATTTATATCTGATCTATGGACAAGAAACATTACATGGAGAAAATGAAAT